ACTTGTTCCGAGCATTCGCCCAGGACAAAGACGAGAAACAGCAGGGAAATTCTTGGAAGGACACTCATTGCAAGGCAGATTGACCGTTTTGAACGCACAGTCATAAATAGGACAGTTTATACAGTCGAACAATTAGCGGTTTATCAAAAGAAACTCTTAAGTGGCTTTTCATTTAACGGATAGGCTAAATGTAAGTGTTGCTAAAAATTTATAGTGAAATTTACACAATGTTAATGGACTTTTAAAAAAATTAAAAAAATTTAGATCTAGGGAAAATTTAGGGACTTTTGTAAAATGGGGAAAATACAACCGTGCGAAATAGGCGAATTTTGTATATTTTTGTATTTACGTGCAGAAATGTGTAACTAATTCAGTTACACGCTCCAGTCATAATACAAAAGTGTAAAAATTTGCATATGCAGCTATATGTTTTTCGTTCTTTACAACATTTCACAGGCAATAATATACCTCTACGGAAACGCAATGAGAAGATTAAAATCGGCCACTCGATGAGTTTGAGTGTTAGTAAGCTTTTATAGAATACAGGCGTAATACCGCCTATATAAAATATTGATGTGTAACACATAAACTCCATTATATCTTATTTACGATAGTACTGGTAAACTATCTTCAAAGAAGAACAGTATAGGAAAGATTATGTCAATTATGTTGGGGAAATTACATTTTCTTTTTTTTTATTTGTTAATTATGTTGCCGATATAGTTTGCCAATAAGTAATAGAAAAAATGTTAATAAGTTGTATAATGTTAACTTTAATTAAACTTCTTGGCAAATACTATCACTATGATGTCCGAAATATGTCAACAAAATAACTTGAAAGAAATGACCGTGCTCCTCCTAAAGCGATTTTTGGCGTTTGAACTATAAGGGGTTTAGTTCGCTAAATAGGATAAAATTTTCGATGTCGGCATACGTTTCAGCTTGGCAGTTTAAATGCTGTGGCGATGTTAGAAATCTTGCACGAGTCCTCGGAGAAATTTGAGACGTTGCCCGAAAGACGTCTATTTTATATTCAAGCTAGTTACTAAGGGTTTATCTATATGAGTGAAAAAAATATAATACACCTTTATTTACAACATATCACATTTCAACTTATGACAAGACGACTCAAATTTCAAACACACATGCAAATTATGCCGTAAATGGTTGGTTTTTACCAACGGTTCAACCCAATAATCTTTGGCACTCTTTGAAGAGAATCCAATTTTCACCTTGTCGGCATATTAGTTATATTGCAAATTTTTAATTGTAAATTGTTGAGTTCAAATGCTGTGAGACTTGTTTATCTTGTAGCAAGGTGATTGGCAAGCTTCTTTCTCTTTCATGCAGTAGGTAAACCCCATTCAAGAGGCTTTTCGTTTGACCTTAGCGGCTAAAATAATTAAAAACTAAATTTTACGATCTCAGCATCTCATATTTTTAATAGTTAGTTGCTGCATGTCTATAATGAAGTGGAAAGTTATTACCACCACGCTTCCTTAGTGTCTAAATATTAGCAAAATATTCACGTTTGGAAGAAATTATGATGCCCTCTGTTTTATATCCAACTGTTTGTATAAATGTCATATAATTATTGCCGGCGATAGTTCGGGTCAATTTGTATAGAAAATTCTCATATCATGCATAAATATTTATATATTTATTTCATCGCGAAAGCACCATTTTTGCAACATTATTTCGAAAGAGACTTTGATATCTTTTTTATTCGGCTAATGATATTAGCAGAATATCATCATCATATTTTTTTAAAATTACAGAAACTGTATCTAATGTTGGATCTGGTATTGTGGCGTAGAAACCGTGGGGTGCAGGAGAAGCTTACCACGCCCCGTTCTGAGGAAAATACATATATTATAAATAAATATATTTAGAGACGATTCAGTAGAAAAATTACTTTTGTGCGTTTTATTTTAATAGCACATATACAGTAGTTTATAGGCCATTATAGGCCTTAGTAATTATTATCTAACATAAATTTATATTATCAGTCATATTCAGAGATTTAGGAATATCAGCAACGAAAGACTGACTTTGACGAATGCACGAAGCAAACGTCTTTGTTGCGTAATTTTCATATTCACTGGTTGTTTTGTTCGACAAGCCAAATGTTTGCCGTGAGTTGGAATATTTTATCCTAAAATAACTTCGTCTGTCTGTCTGTCTGACAACAAAAACGACGACTTGTTAATGTGATGTTTCATCTGCGCCAGTTAAATGTACGCGACACAATTGTTTTGTTTTTCAAATTAACATTACTAAGATAATTATGACATTTTGGCTTTTACAAAACTTATTTATTTATACTTTATTCGTTTAGATAATTAAACAGCACGTTTTCAGAGGTGAAAAAAATCAACAAATTAAGACAGGTTATTAAAGTTATTAAGACAGAGGGGCGTAACTAAAGCGATAATTGGGGAGGTGAATATTCATATATTCAGTTCTGCAAGACGGGCTTCTTTGTAAGCCATTGCACTTACAAAAGAAATTCCTTGGGCAGAACTGGATATATGAATTTCACCCCCCCCCCCCAATTATTGCTCTAGTTGCGCCACTGTGAAGACATGCATATACAGGGTGTCCCAAAGAAAGTCACATGAACTTACTATGGCGATTTTTGCCCGAACCCCAAATTCTAGTTGTGGCCCTGAGTAAAAAAGCCTTGATGCTTTACGCAATTGAGTTTCCCGCGCTGAAGATACTTCTGAAATAAATATGGGCGGCGTGATGAATGCATGTTCGCATGAATATATTGTGCATGTGTAATTCATTGAAATGTTTACAAATAATGTGCACGATTGCGTTGAACTAAATGTTCTTTTAACTTGTTTCCAAAATTTCAGGGCCTAAACGGGCTTCTTCGATATTGCATGCACATGGTTTGAGCATCAAATTACGAGGTCGCCGAAAATCACGCAAAATTACCCACGCCAATATATGTTGGTCACGTGGTTGATATTTAGGTGTTCATGAATATATGGACAGGAAAACGTTTCGAAAACCATTGTATATATGCAGAGTCAGAGTGTCCCTAAATATATTTCATGGTTTCTGAGATTGTGTAGATTTCTCGACTGTCAACAATGTCTTTCATGAGTCGTCTGAGAAATTTAAAACGCGGTCTAAAAAGGGCCATTTTACGTTCAAGCTAGGGCACTCGAGTTTCACCTGTGGCTGTGCTTACACGAAAAATTCATACACGTTGAAGTGATTATTGCATGCAAATTTTTTCATTTACAAGCATATCATATTGCAACTTTGAATTTTGTATTTATCATGCTATAATAACACACCGATTGCCAGACAGACAGTTCAAACATCAGACAAACGTTGAAACATTAAACACACGAATTAGATCGTAAATTGTTATTACTGAAAATTACTAAGGGTTTATCTAAATGAGTGAAAAAAATAAAAACACCTTTATTTACAACATATCACATTGCAATTTCTGACAAGACGACTCAAATTTCAAACACGTATGCAAATTATGCCATAACTAAATAGGTTATAAAGTTAGCATTCTTTGAAGAGAAACAAATTTTCACTTTGTCCGCATATTAATTATATTACAAATTTTTAATTGTTGACTCAGTTCATATGCTTTTAGACTTGTTTATCTTGTAGCAAGATGATTGGCAAGCTTCTTTCTCTTTCGTGCAGTGCGTAAACCCCATTCAAGAGGCTATTTCGTTTGACCCTTGCGGCTAAAATAATTAAGAACTAAATTTCACGATCTCAGCATCTCATATTTTAGATAATTAGTTGCTATCTGTACTAAAGTAGAAAGTTATTACCTCCACGCTTCCTTAGTGTGTAAATATTAGCAAAATCTTCACGTTTGGAAGAAATTATAGTGATATTCTCTGTTTTATAACCAACTGTTTGTATAAATGTCAAGTACTCATTGCCTGCGATAGTTTGGGTCCATTTGTATAGAAAATTCTCATATCATGAATACTTTATGTACTTAATGTATGCTCCCGAGGGAAATAGTGAGTTGTGTTTTCCCAAGCCGAGGGTCTGAATGTTCCCCGAGACGAAGTCGAGGGAAACATTCAGACTCGAGAGAAAACAAAACTCGCTATTTCCAGAGGTAGTGAACATTAAGTGTTTTGTTATATAGGAACAAAAACATACATGTTACACAACAATTTCATTTAAAAAAGAAACCCACTTTACTTTATTATGACAAGAAGCGGGCAACAATTTTTCACTTGTTTCCCTGGCGGGAAACATTGCATTTATCTAAAGTCATGTGACTACGAATTAACCAATCACATTTAAAATACACAGCACCTATATAACAAAAGTATTTATTTCATTGCGTAAGCGCCTTTTTTGCAACATTATTTCGAGATAGACCTTGATAGCTTTTTGATTTGCTAATGATATTAAGAGAGTATCATCATATTTTTTACCATTACAAAAACTGTATCTACCGTTGGGCATGAGGGTATTGTGGCGTAGAAACCGTGGGGTTCCAGAGAAGCTTACCCCATTCAGTGTAAAATACATATATTATAATAAATATATTTGGAAGCGATGCGGAAGAAAAATTACTTTTGTGCATTTTATTTAATAACACAGATACAGTAGTTTATAGACCATTATAGGCCTTAGTAATTATTATGCTGATATAAATTTATATTATCAGTCATATAGTCTAGGATGATGCGCAGAGCCTGGGTGCTGCGCCCATACAATTTTACGTTTATTATCAATCAAAGCCTTATTTGTGATGATATTTTTGGAACGCCTAGAATTAGCGTTCAAAATGTTTTAAATGTGTATATAATGTCACTCTTTATTTATGCAAATTCGTAATCTTTGACTATATAAATGCTGGAATATTTTTCTACTATCTGCCAACTATATAGTATACACGCGTAAAAACTATGCAAGAAATTGTCTCGTTTATACAACCCATAAGTTAACTTAATCATGACTAGAAGGTAACGTTTTATTTTACTGGTTGATTATTGAACAAGAATGTATCCAAACGTCGCCAAATTCTTATCACCGTTATCGGGATTCAGCCTAGCAACATTTCCACAAGTCCATTCAGTCAATCTAGTGAACCTTGCTCCATAGCCAATCCAAGAATCACACGTATCACAATCGTTCTCGTTATTGGCTTGGAATCCAATTCGTATTCTGAAAACGGTATTAAACCCTTCCCTGTTGCAGTTTAACTGTAATGAAGAGCCTGCGATCAGGGATTTCCATGCTGCTCTACCAGCCCCCGTTGCCCTAAACTGGCCGTCTGCGATCACACTGTACAGCGAAGTCGCGGTGTAGTTGAAGCTCATCCATTTTCTTGTCCCATTAAACGTCATACCCAGGCAAATCTTTGTGAACGGAGTATTCCAATACGAAGCCAACTTACTTTCTTTCTCTGTCAATCCTTCCAAACCATCTTGTACTGCGTAAGTCTCTTTGTTTGTCCACAGGGAAGAACGATAGTTAAATGTATTCTGTAAAGTATAAAATTCTTCAAAATTATAAGTTACCACTTTCGTTAGTCGTTACCAATTGATTATTAGAAGTTGTTAATATGTAAAATATATGATCTTCATGACTAAGATCTAACCTTAGTCCCATCAAGCTTCATCACTAGGGTCCAACCTCCAACGCCACATCCTGGGATATCTGTCATGTGACAATATACCTTATATGGTGGTGAGGAATTATTCTTCTGCAAGGTGTAAGCACCATTGAGCAATGATCTAGATATCCGTACAATAATAAATACTTACGTCGTTTGCTACAAGCTAAAATAATTTATTATACGTGTATAGAGATTTATGCATGCACAGAAAAATGATGAAATAAAAATCGTACTTCACTGTGTAAATCAATTTTATGTCATTTGACTGGACGTACGATGTTTTTTACGTGTGAAAAAAGCCATACACGGCTTTTGATTGGACGTACGATATTCTTCACACGTGAAAAATGGTCGTATGTCATTTTGGCGGCAATTGATTTACATTTTCTTTCAAGATGGCGTCGAAATATAGGAGTGAGATTAAAAAACATAATTCTCATATTCAAGATATTTTTACATTCAGCACATTCTTAAATCTTTCGGAGAGAATATCTAACTTTTATTGAACAAAATTACAAAAGAAACTGGACGGTAATAAATATGTTTTGATGCATAAAATTGCGATTTTTGTTGCGCTTTGTGTTTTTGTATATTAAAAGCGTGTCGTTGTCAAATTGATCTCTATACACATTTAATAAACAAATTACTTCATGGTTGGCTCGTTTGTACGATTTTTATTATGAACTCGTTTTGAAGGATTGCAAACTCACTCGTTCGTTTTGCGATTCTTCACAACTCGTGCATAAAAATCCTACTTACTCGCCAACCACGACTGTAATATCACCATCGAAAATTACAAGGGTATGGCTATATGATCGATAGTGTTATGAAAAGTTCTGCTGGAATGAAGGTTGAATTCGAAATTAATTGACTGTATTAGACTTTAATCCTCGAGTATAAGTATAACTTACGTATTCTTGACAAACAATTCCGTGCAAGATTGAGGAAAGGTGTTTTGTTGTTCTCCTAAAAACATAAATATACAATATACCGGAGCGTTGTTTTCATTTTGGACGCAATAACATCAAACATTTTAATTTTACCTGGCAAAATATTTTTTTCCGGCTTCAGCCAAATCTAAAAGGCGACAAGAATAAATTCTTCACACGTCAACCTTTGTGGTAGTATACCGTCGCACAAATTTCCACAAGCGATATTTTTCGAGCGAAGCGAATTATTTCTTTGTATTTGAGCAATTTGTTCCAGATTATTGCAGTTGAGAGCTCTGACACATAAGTAAAATAACGCTTCACGCAAAATTATCGCTATATAGTGGAAAACCAACTTAAGACGGTGTAAATAGACACTTTGAGACGTTGGAGGCAAACGGCAAACTAAAATTCATATTCGTCATTTTGGAATTAGCTATATCGATATTGGGAAATTTAGACTAGACATTATAATTGAAACATGAAATGTGAACTAAAATTTAGCGTTTACTTTAAAGTTAATCTTTGACAAGTCAAGTGCTTAGTTATTTCTAATAAATTTTCTTGGTCACGGGCCACAAACAATACGTCGCCGACTGCCGGTGACATATTAGAATCAGGCTTAAGTTATAAGAGTTATACGTAATATAATAAAAACGTAATATCAAAGCTTAAAGGCGGTTTGCCATTACGTCCTCTTGCGAAGCGCGCTCTGTTTTTCAACCCATCACGCCCGCATGAGAAGATTTTCAAAGGCTGCTTCGCCCGCGGACAAAGCGAATGAAATGCATGAAACAGCCTTAAGTTACCTGACAAATTTTTACGAGACGTTTGTTTTAAAAGACGCGATTTACATATCGATGAACGTTGACTGTGTAAGCCGGGTCTGAAGATGTGTTTTATCACTCAATTTAATTTATTTCAGTTCTAGGTAATAATTCATTGTATATAATAATGCATTTTGCAAGAACAACTATAATTGACGACATTTTTGGTTTACCTATGTAAGAGTATTGAATGGTCCAAATACTCCGTTCTTTCTTTGGGAAAGAAATTTCGGGCAGTTATAGCCAAGAAACACTCTATATATATAGTTGTTTCATAGTTTCAAACTAAAATCTATTCTACCGTGCATATCCGTCGTCAAAACCACATAATATATGTAAAAAATTTATGCTTATACTTACTGGTTTTATTATGACAAGATGGTTGTATTCAAAGTTGATTTCTTCGTCATCATCGTCTTCATTTGTCTTATTGTTGAGTTCACAGCGACCTTTACCGATACCAGAAGTTTTGTAGTTGATTGACGCACATGATCCATGACGAGCGCAAAGCAAACCACATTCAAACTCAAACTCAGCTTGTTTGGTCTCGATGACATGATTCGCCATGTATTTTTGTTTATTTCTTCGAAAGACAACTTGATCCGAGCATCCGCCCAGAACAAAAACGAGAAACAGCAGAGAAATTCTTGAAAGGACACTCATTGCAAGGCAGATTGACCGTTTTAACGACAGTCATAAAAAGGATATTTTATACAGTCGAACAATTAGCGATTAATACAAAGAAACACTTAAGTGGCTTTTCATTTAAGAGATAGGCTAAATATAAGTGTCATTTATAGTGAAATTTACATATTTACAATATATAGTGAAATTTACACAATGTTAATGAACCTTATGCGCTATATAGATTAATTTTAGATCTGTGCGGCAAGGAGAAAAATATATATTACCATAGCTAAAAAGAGCGTACAAAGATTAATATAATTGCAAAGTTTAGTCGCGAACTTTTGTAAAAATAATGTGAAAAATGTTCGCGTGCGAAGTAGGCAAATTGATTTTTTTTAGTTTATTTTTGTATTTATACGTGCAGAAATGTGTAACTAATTTAGTGCAAACACTCCAGCCATAATAGAAAAGTGTACACAATTTGCAACTTCGCACAACTATATTCCCAATACTATAAGACATTTCCCAGGTAAATTTTAATTTTGTTTAGATTTACAAATTTTGATGTATGCTCTTCCCGAAAATTTCCTTTTTCCCGCCTGCATGGATAAAATATTGATCTACATAGCGTATAAGCTGCAAGATATCTTCGCTAATTATGATAGTTACCTATATTCAAAGAGGAGCAGTATAGTTGTGGAAAGATAGGTTGATCACTGTTCGGGAAATAACATTTAGTTAAATTTTTTGGTTAATCAAGTTGGGTTATAGTTTCTTATTTCTTAATAAGTTTTATTTATAGTGTTTATAAACTAACTTTAATTAAACTTCTTGGCAAATGCTATATCCCCTTGTCCAAAATATATCAACAATAACTTAATAAAGAAACGACCGTGCTCCCCTAAAGCGGCTAACAATTGTTACTTTCTGAATTGACAAACTTTTTCAACTCGTACTCTGAATATATTATTTTATGGTTTGCAACAATGTGTTAACTATATACCGGTGGTTTAAATAAGATGGTATCTTTGCAAAAATGGCGGTTTAGTTTAATTAAATGCTGTCATTGTTGCATGCAAGTTTTCATTCATTGTTGCATGCATTCATTTTCAAGCATACCACATTGTAAGCTTCAATTTTATATTTATCTTGGTAGAATATTACACCGATGGCAAGACAGACAGTTCAAACCTTAAACACATGAATTATACGGAAAATTTTTATTAAACTACAAACGTTTTATCTAAATGAGTGATTATAATGGACGCTCCTTTGAAATACTTAAAATCAAATTTGCATTTTGTTAGCACATCATGCACATACATATTTATTTCAATGATTCAGTTTCTATTTTTACTAAAGCGAAAGTTTAGTTTTAAATGCTGTGGAACTAGTTTTGTTGCATTTTAATGCAATGCATTTTAATGTTAAAACATGCATGATTGACAAGTTTCTAAGATGAATCAACCATCAAAATAATTCTTGAAATCGACCCGTCCGAGTCTCAACTGTACTTAATATAGTTTGTCATACATTCTGAATTATTTGTGGCAACGTTTCTTCATTTACAACAAAAATATTACATTATATAACTTATGATAAATCAGCTCAAACTGCAAACACACGACTGATTCGGCCATAAAAATTCTTGGTAATTTTCTAACGGTTCGTCTGAATACGTCAATAAACAATCTTTCAAGAGGCCATTTTCCTAATACGTGGTTTAAATAATTAAAAACAAATTTGCACTTTGTCGGCACATCATATTATAAACATTTAGACGCTGACTTAGTTCAAATGCTGCTGTGGAACTAGTTTATCTTGTATATATAGTAAGATGATTGAAAAGCTTTTTTCTCGTTCAATTTGTGTTAGAAATGAACTCTGCTGCCTGATAAACGATCTTGCCGGTTACGTTCAAGCTAAGGCACTTGAGTTTTATCTGTGCTTACTATAGAACGTCATACATCCTGAAGTCATTGTTGTAAAATTTCTATTTACAACACTTCACCGGCTTTTAAATTTGAATGTATACACTACATTATAATTTATGAGAATACGGACGGTTGACACTTAAACCTTGATACATGAAATAGGACGTAAATTATCAGTAATTTACCACAGGTATATATCTAAAAAGTTAACGAATGAAAACCCTTCAAGAGTTTATTTCGTTTCACCTAAGTGGTTGAAGTAAATTATTAAAATTTAAAATTCACGATATCGCCATCTTAGCTATATTTTGAATATTTAGTTGTTACCTGTACTAAAAAGAAACTTATTCCACCAGGCGTCCTTTGAGTGTAAATATTAGGAAGATAACTACGTCCAAAAAAAGTATAATGATATTCTCTGGTTTATATCCAACTGTTTGTGCAATTGTCATATAATTATTGACTGGGATAGTTCGGGTCAATTTGTATTGAAAATACACCTATCATGAATACTTGAGTATATTTGATTTCATTGTATAAGCGCCACTTTCTGCAACGTAATTTCGAAAGAGACTTTAAAAATTACTTATGTGCGTTTATTTTCATAGAACTACATGTTCTAATAACACAGATATAATTATATAGTATTTATAGGCCATTATACAGGCGTAATTATTATGCTGATATAAATTTATATTATCAGTCATGTTAGAAGGTGCTGGGTGTGTATATTATTATATTACCTGTATCAACAATCAAAGCCTTATTTGTGATGATATTTTTGGAAGGCCTAGAATTTACATGCTACAATATTTTAATGTCTCTGAAATGTCACCGTTTATGCTAATTCGTTACTTTGAATATATAAATGCTGAACCTACAATCACGTACAAATTATATGCAAGAAATTGTCACGTTTTTACAACCCATAGGTTATCTTAATATTGACTAGAAGATAGCGTTCTATTTTACTGGTTGATTAGTGAACGAGAATGTATCCAAACGTCGCCAAATTCTTATTACCGTTATCGGGTTCGTGGTTAGCAACATTTCCACAAATCCATCCAGTGGACTTTGCTCCATAGCCAATCCAAGAATCACACGAATTACAATCTTCCTGTTCATTCGCAACGAGTCCAATTCGCATTCGGTTTCCATTCGCAATTTGTATATTATTAAATCCTTCCCTGTTGCAATTTTTCTGAAGTGACGAGTCCGCAATTAGAGATTTCCATGCTGCTCTGCCAGCGGTCGTTGCCCTAAATTGGCCGTCCGCAATCACACTGTACAGTGAACTTGCAGTGTAGTTGAAGCTCATCCATTTTCTTGCCTTGTTATACGACATACCCAGGCAAATCTTTGTGAATGGAGTATTCCAATACGAAGCCAACTTGCTTTCTTTCTCTGTCAATCCTTCCAGACCATCTTGTACTGCGTATGTCTCTTTGTTTGTCCACAGAGAAGAATGATAGTTAGATGTATTCTGTAAAGTTGAAAGTTGTTTAAAACTAAAAGTTTTAACTATTGTTACAAATTGATTGATTAGAAGTAAATACGCACTATACTCTTTACGACTACAATCTAACCTTAGTCCCATCAAGCTTCATCACTAGAGTCCAACCTCCAACCCCACATCCTGGGATATCTGTCATGTGACAATATACCTTATATGGTGGTGAGGAATGATTCTTCTGAAAGGTGTAGACACCATTGAGCAATGATCTAGACATATATAAAAACATCTGCTTATAATTTCTGGAATAAATTAAAGGTTGACATTCATTGAATGTAATGGACCTTTCTCCACTGGTTTATATGTATCTTTTTAACTTACGTATTCTTGGCAAACAATTCTCTGCAAGATTTTGGAAAAGCCTACAAAAAACGACAAGAATATATTCGTTTGGACTCATTAAAGCACGAAGATTTCTTTTGTATGTATGTCTTTCTGTTGTTGAAATTAATTTCCGTAAATCTTGAACAGTAACTGGTTCGAGGGCATTTGGAATGCTTCAATATTGTGCTACATCACAAGTTAAATTTTCAAAATGTTTTTTCGGAGATGAATTCAAAATACATTATGAGTGGCATGCCCATGCACATTCAGCCAGCATGATATGTGGGGTGGACATATTTATATATTCGATTTTTACATTATTCATTTCAATCTGTTCAAATTGATTGTTCATGAACATGAATAAATGAAAATGTGCGTAAGTTCCAATATAACCAGGGAGCAGCGTGGCAGCGCCTTCAAACAATGTCCACCCCACTTATCGATGCTGGCGACGCCACTGTCAACATTTATGTGATGTTGCTATGGTTTTCGTAGTAGTGATAAAAATTTTGTAAATTGTTTGATAATTATAATAAAACCGCCGAAATTGCATATACTTACCCTTAGTTGCGTAACTAGCACAATAATTGGGGGGGGAGTTCTGCCCTACGGATTGCTTTTTAAATGCAATGGCTTACAATATAGAAATCCGTCGGCAGAGCTAAATATGTCAATATTCACCCCCCAATTATCGCTCAAGTTACGCTACTGCTTACCCTAGTCCTATTAGGACTTGTCAATTCGTAGTAATCAAAGTCTTTGTGCTGATGAAAATCGTTTTCAGGCATCTCTGAAGCAATATCTTGAAGGAATTCACAATTTTTTTCTGAGTTTGAGCATTTTTTGAAATTAGTAGATCTACACGCTTCGTTATCACGGGCACAAAAGTAAATGCATTCTGCTCCCGTTCCTGCGTGGACTTTTTCTATCACTTCGCTGTTCAAACGACGACCTTTGGAATAGTAAAAAAAGAAGGTAAACGTACATTAAGAATTATGATGCTAACGAAAATTGTTGATTTTTCTAATCGAAACTTTTCGTAGTCGTATAGCACAGGAGGAAGTAATAAAAACATTGTTAAATATTTATGAAGTTGTCTCGCTAATGTAGTCCGTGTGCTTCGCAAGTGAAGAACTAGACGTTCATGTAGAATCCAATTAACAAAGTGA